AACTATAACCACGGGTGTTGTACAATTATGATTGTTGCTTATGTGATGATGCAAAACGTACAACGTGTGCACTGTAACACCCCCATCCCTTACCCCATAAAAACCCTGCTCGCCATTGTTCGAGGCTTCTCCTTGCTGCCGCTGTGCCCATAGACGGGTGAGCCCCTGCTCGAGCTTGTAATAAAGACCCTTATGTACTTGCATCGGTGACGGCTCCTTAGGGGTCTCAGGGGACTCACTATTCGGGCACAACAGAATGACAGAAACTCAGAAGTGGACATTGTTAATGATCCCGGTATGAGTGTTCATTATGATGCAAGTGACAAGAAAATTCTGTTATTTCTGTGACATGAAACACTTCAATAATCAGAATATGGAGTGATGACCTCGTATCAGAACGTAACACACCAAATAAATGAGGCTAATTAGTGAAAGAGACCTCATTTATGATTTAAATCTTGAGGGAGTTTGTGAAAACTTTAGAAAGTTTTAAAGCACAACCATAAGTATAGACTATGGATCATCAAAGGCCTGATACATGTAAAGCACAGAAATTGGGCAAAGAAACGAAAAACCAATTCCATGTACATTTTCTTACCAAGAGCAGACCAACAATCTAAAAAAAATTGTCTTTTTTGGGGCGCCTGGGTGGCTCAGTTGGTTAAGCGTCCAACTTCAGCTCAGGTCATGATCTCACGGTTGATGGGTTTGAGCCCCACTTCGGGCTCTGTGTTGACTGCTCGGAGCTTGGAGCCTGCTTTGGATTCTGTGTCTCCCTCTCTCTCTCTGCTCCTCCCCTGCTCATGCTCTGTCTCTGTCTCAAAAATAAATAAACATTTTAAAGAATTTAATAAATAAAAAGTGAATTTGTCTTTTCAACAGAGAAAGCAGAATTTCAATCTTATTCCAGTATACTTTTAAAATCCATTCATTTTGACCTTAGTCCATCCTGACCACACCTAAAATTCCTTTCCAAAGATTTCCCTTCACAAAGCTCCTATGACTTTCCTTTGCATTCAGATTTTGCCCCAAGCCATTTCTCTCCAAAGAACCAGTCTCATTTAGGATAAGATTACTTTCCTTTACCTTCAACAAAAATGCATCTCCATACCTCACTCCATCAGTCTTAATTACACGTGGTAGAATTTTAACTCTTAGAAACCATAGTCTCCAGTGGAAACTAAGTAGTAAATTACAATCCTGAACCGTTACACCAGAATTCTTTAGATGGCAAACTTATGACTACACTTAAGCACAAAGCATGTTTCCAACAGACTTAAATATCCTTAGCTTCTCTGCAATAAGGGGTCAAAAGCAGTAATATTCAGTAATCAATGCTTTAGCACTTTATCTTATTTAGAAAAGACATAGATGTCCAAGGGACTCAACCCCAGTTTATCATCGAAGCAAAACTTTGATGCTTCAGGCTACCAAAGACTTGGAAAGCTACCCTAACAACCACCCATGAAAACTTGGAGACAGAATCCACTATTGCATGTTATCACCCTTTTGCCAACTAATTGCAACAGAGAGAACACGATCTTATCTGACCTTCAGCAAACCTTGGCTGAACAAAGGTTTCACATTCAATGCTGGTAACTCTAATGACATGGCTATTTCAAACTTAAATTCGTTTGAATTCAAATTATGTTCAACCTGTCCACTTAAAAGTCAATCAATTTTGTGGCGCCTGGGTGGCTTAGTCGGTTAAGCGTCCGACTTTCGCTTAGGTCATGATCTCGCGGTTCGTGGGTCCCGCATAGGGCTCTGTGCTGACTGTCAGCTCAGAGCCTGGAGCCTGTTTCAGTCTGTGACTCCCTCTCTCTCTGACCCTCCCCTGCTCACGCTCTCTCTCTCTCTCTCTCTCTCTCTCTCTCCTAGAAATAAATAAAAACATTAAAAAAAATTAAAAAAAAAAGTCAATCAATTTGTTCCCCATTGTAAAAGAAAAAATTTTTTTTTAAACCTGAGAACTCCGGTGGGGAAATCTGAAGTGGGCGGTCCAAGGGGGTGCTCTTGGCTCCTTGACCTCGAGGGTGAGAGAAGGAGCCAATGGTGCCAGAGGCATGGAGCCCCCAGGGTGGTATGGAACCAGTTATGCGGTTATGCAGGTGGTGCGGAAACAGGAGGAGACAGAAGAGGGAAGGTGCTGCAGGGAAGCAGAAAGAAGGTTCCTGGTTTCAAATCAGCTGGGATGGGGGAGCAGACGCCATGCTTTTTTCCACCAAAGTGGAACTATGCTGTCCATGTTGGGCTGGAAAAGACAGGGAATTTCCCCAAAACAAAGTGAGTTTTGGCAGCTGCTTACAGTCCTCATCCTGAGGCAGACTTACCAAAGACAGTTGGTTCCAATTATAGCCATTAACCCGGGAAATTAATGGGGGAGAAGCCCCACATCTATTAGGAGGATGAACAGTGAGAGAGGGTTGGCGTCTCCTTTGTCAGGGATGGCCTGTGTTTCCTCCGGCAATCTGGGTTTTGTTCAGAGGAGGTCTGTTTAGGTAATAATAGGCCCTGAGGCCCTGATTTCGAGGCATGCATGAAGGCCTTGACCTAGGGCACCTCTGTCTATTTGCCTGGTTTCCTGCAGAAGAGATCGAACTGCCGGATCCCTATGAAGGCCACACAGTGTTAGAGGAGATCGATCCTTTCCCAAATTTGGTAATCTGAATTGTTTCTGGTGGGTTAAAAGGCATCCTAAGAGGGAGTCCTTGGGGACCGAGGAAGAGGCTCCCATGCTCCTAGAAAAGTAGCAAAGGTCTGTTACCAAGAAAACCCTCCCACCCCCATCTCCTGGCTAGAGTCCCACATGCAGAATGTGTCAGAGGTTCCCGGTGTAAAAGTGACCTGAAGCGTCACTGGAACAAAATCCCTATGATCACTGCCTGCAGGAGGGAGGTCAGCCCTCTCCCCCACCCTCCTGCGCTTCCCCATTGCATTCTAGACTCCAGTGGGTGCCCGTGCATGGACCGAGTTTGCCTTGCTGAGAGGGCCATGCTGCGCCTTGGCTTGAATCCTCCCCTCAAGGCAGGAAGAGCCTTAGATCATAGAAAACGTCCCTCTTTCTGTAACCTCTGAACCCCATACCTGTCTTGAATGTGGCATTTTTCATATTCCATAACCATTGTCGTAGATGTCTGCCTCCACTGTCAGCCTGAAGGGCTCTCAAAGACAGGATGGTAATTAGCCCCGTATTCTCAGTGCTTAGCTCAGGTCTGCCCCCATCCCCCCACCACATATCAGCAACTGGTAACATCTGTAATTAATCATCATGGGTGTTCCGACCATGACAGACCCGTTTGGAAGGAGCTGGGGGTTGGATTATGTCCCACCTGAAACACCAGGTCAAAGTCTTTATTCTCTGTACCCGTGGCCTTATTTGGAGATAGGGTCTTTGCAGAAAAGACAGAGAAACTGAAAGAGCAGGCTGCGTGACCAAGGAGGCAGCGCCTGGAGGAATGTGGCCACAGCCCAGGAATGCGAGCAGCTGCTGGGAACAGCCAAGGAACCAGGGAGAGGCAAGAGCCTCTTGGAGCCTCCAGAAACTGTGAGAATAAATTTCCGTTGTTTGAAGTCACCCAGTTTGTGGTACTTTGTTCCCGCAGCCCCAGGAAAGAAAGGAAGAAAGAAAACCTCATTAAAATGGAGTGAGGCAGCCCTGAAGGGGGCGCGCTCACACAAGAAACTGGCACCAGTCAACGTCACCAGCAGAAAAGAATCATTCGAACAAGGAGACATCTTTCAAATGGGAATTTTGTTTCCTACTTTAAATTTTTTTTCTTATTTGAGACAGACAGACAGACAGAGCACGATCGAGAGAAGGGCAGGGAGAGAGGGAGACACAGAATCCAAAGCAGGCTCAGACTCTGAGCTGTCAGGGTAGAGCCTAATGTAAGGCTCGAATCCACAAACCTTGAGATCATGACCTGAGCTGAAGTTGGATACTTAAGGACTGAGCCACCCAGGCGCCCCTCATCTCCTACTTTTAAGAACAAGAAGGAAGATCCCTCCCCACCCCCACCAGCACCCCAGAAGCATGGCTTGCAGCCCAGGAGAATCTGTCCAACCTCAAGCCTCCTGTTCTCCACTGAACTTTTGTTCAACACTCCCTCCCGGTTTCCTTCTAAACCCTGATAGAAGCTGAATTTTCCTTTGTGTCTCCAGACCCTCCTCTGGCTCACCACAGCTTGCATGGCCGGAAGTGCAATTTCTCTGCCGTTCCGAGCAAACTCGTTTTGCTAGTAAAATAGCTGGCTATTTAGTCTTTTTTTTTTTAATTTTTTAATGTTTTATTTCTAGGAGAGAGAGAGACAAAACGTGAGCAGGGGAGGGTCAGAGAGAGAGGGAGACACAAAATTTGAAACAGGCTCCAGGCTCTGAGCTGTCAGCACAGAGCCCGACACGGGGCTCGAACCCACGAACCGGGAGATCATGACCTGAGCTGAAGTTGGACGCTTAACCGACTGAGCCCCCCAGGCGCCCCTATTTATTCTTTTAAGGTTGATCATTCAGTAACCATGAAAATCAGCTACAGGATCCAGGGCTCAAAGGGACCGCGTGAACGGGTGCGTCGATGAGGTCCCGTCCCCGCTTGATGCCTCACTGAACCCCACGGAAACGGGTGCGTGCTCTTGTCTCCGGAAATCACACGCTTTGGCTTGGGGTTCGCTTCTTCTGGGTTCTGAGCAGAAGACAGACTCTGCAGCGAAGGGCAAAATGCCAACAGAGGGACTAAGGCACCGAGAGAATGAGGACTTTCCGGGCGTTTTGGTGATTGCATAGACGCTGCAGACTGTGCTGGAGACGCGGGCCCTCCTGGGCGGGGCCCGCCCCGCCGAGTCCTCCCGGGGACCCGCCGCCCCCAGCAGCCCGGGTGCGGCCGCCGGCGCGAGGCGCGTGCCCGCAGCTCGCCCCCGCGCGCTCCCGGCGGCTCCGGCGCCCCGCCCCGTGACGTCACAGGCCGCGCCGCCCGGGTCGTCATCGCAGCGCGCCGCCGCCGAGGGCCAGGCGCGGGTGGGTCATGGCTGAGGTGGGCCGGGCAGCGGTGCGCGACCCCGGGGAGCTGCTCCCGGGGGGCTTCTGGGCGGCGGTGGCCGTGTGGCTGGAGAGGCCGCAGGTGGCCAACAAGCGGCTGTGTGGCGTCCGCCTGGAGGCCTGCCGGGGCGCCGCCCTGCCCCGGGTGTCGCCCCGCGGTCGCAGGCCCCACACGGGCCCGGAGCCGGAGGAACCGGCCGCGGCCGGACGGGGTCTGCGCTCCCCCGAGGGGGCCCCGGGTCGCGGGCCCGAGGAGTCCCAGCACCGGCGGCAGCAGGCGGAGGGCCCCGGGGAAGCAGCCGCGGCGCCCCTGCTCGCAGGGGGTCCCGGGCAGCCCGACAGGGCCGCAGTCGGGGCGGGCGACCTCGCTGCCTGGGATCTGGATGCTCTCTGGGACGGTCTGTCCCGAAGCCTCGCGGGCGGCAGCCACGAGCTGCTGGGCTTCGTCACCGGGGCCCGGGCGGCGTCGCGGCCAGAGGCGCCGAGCGAGCTCGAGGTGGTTCTCAGAACCGTCATCCCGAAAACAAGCGCGCATTGCCCGCTTGCGGCTCTGAGGAGAGAGATCGTCGTGCGAGGTAGGCGTTTCCGGGGGCGGGAGGTGCGGGGGATCCAGGCGGGCGCCAGTCGAGCGCAAGGAGAGGCCGATTTTAGTTAAACAAGCATTGTTGCAGTAGGGAGAGGTGTCGGCCGAATGAGCTCCACCTCATTTCTGCAGATTTGTGCGAGGTGACCGGCGTTTGAAAGGGAGAGGGAGGGAGTAGGGAGGTGGTGGGGGCTCGCAGAGTGAGAGAAGTGAAAAGTAGCGAGAGACAGAGGATTAGTGTGAGTTCGGGCCCCTGAGGCCTTCAGATGGAGACTTCAGCGTCCCCAGATTGGCTTCTGCGCAGGGGGGAGGTGGTGCTCCTCTACAAGGTGTGCTGGTTGTTGTTGCTTTTTAAGTTTATTTATTTTTGAAAAAGAGACAGAGCATGGGGAGGGGCAGAGAGAGAGAGGGAGACACAGAATCTGAAACAGGCTCCAGGCTCTGCGCTGTCAGCACAGAGCCCAACACGGGGCTCAAACTCATGAACCACAAGATCATGACCTGAGCTGAAGTCGGAGGCTCAACGGACTGAGCCCCCCAGGTGCCCAGGACTTCTGGTGTTAGGAGCGTGTCTTACCTGGCGTGCAGGCTCGGGATGCAGCAGTGGGCAGGACGTTTGAGCTCGTCTGTCCTCCTGGGCGCTGCAGGGAATAGAGGGGGGAAAAGCCCTGGGAGAGCGGAAGCCTGCTGACTTATTACTGTTTTTATTAACGCTTCTGATAAAATTCAAACGAGTTTAATTCATTATCCCTGTCTTTCTCCCCCCAGATGTCCTGAGCGGAGCTGTAACGTTTTTACCTCTGGAAGAAGACGACAAAGGGAGTGTGAAGGTTGAGACCAGCAACGTGTATCAGATCCGGCTCAGCCGGAGCGAAGAAGACGAAGAAGAGTGGTAAGAACTGAAGACTGGATGCCTCTTCCCTCGCTTTTTGGTTTCACTCGAATGTTCGCAAAGCTGCAGGGATCGGGGCCCTGCAGGAACCGAAGGGGGCTACCGCGTGGGGATGATTCCTGTTTCTGGTTGGCCTTTCTGCCACGTGACTGTTCTCTTGGCCCTGGGCGTGTGCGGGGTGTGGTCACCACCTGGCTGAGTCTGTTCTTTATGTTCTGTGAAGCCTTGATCACTGGTAGCACCTGGTTTTAGTGTCCAATTCATAGAACCGCAAATCCTTTTGTTATTTTATTTCTTACAACTTGGAAAGGGGCAGAGAGTACAAGCTTCCTTTTTAACTTCCTGCGAGGCTCTCACATGGTTTGGATGTAGCGGGTATTGGGTGGTGCTTATCACAAAAGTAGTACTTGAGTAGTTCCATGTGGCTGGGCCCGCCCAGCAAGTGTGAAATGCGGTGTGCTTCTATTTGGTGACAGAGTCAGAGGAAGGATAAAGTCACCTGCGACCCTGCCGCCACTGTTTTCCTGAGAGCCACATCTGGAAAGTACAGATACTTCCCAGAACAGCCTTGGGGATCGGGTCTGTTTAATCACACTGGGCTTTGCACACGGCTCTGTGGAGAGCAGAGGAGTACAGGGGGCAGAGCCTGGTTTTGCAGTCAGAAAGGCCTGGGTTTCCCCACTAGCAGTGCAACCTTGGGTATGTCGCTTCAGAGGCCCCCAGTTTTCCGTCTGTGAAAGGGGTTCAATAATTCTTGAACCTCTGAGGAGGGGCCTAGGCTTCCTAGGGACTTATTGTAGGCAGAGAAGTTCGATGGGAATACTTAGGGCCCCAGTGAAGCCTCTTTGAATTGTCTGGACCTGGCCCCAGGCCCTTTCCTCAGCCGGAGCAGGCACTTTGGGGGAAGCCTTGTCCCCCATGGCGGTCGCCTGGGGGGCACTGATGGCACAGCTATTAGGTGAGCCGTGAAGGCATCTGCTCGGCCTGTCCTGAGAGCACTGGCCCAGCCCTAGCAGTGCCCAGCATATTCGACGCATCCTAGCCACCACCTTTGCTGACATCCTGAGGTCTCAGACTCGGCTGCCTGCTCCCCGTCTTTCCAGGTTGGCGTTTCCTGTCCTTTCCCCATTGGGTGGCTGTCCCTTACGTCCCCTTGGGCACTGGGACCAGACACTGAGCACCAGTTAAATGGGGATTGGCTGGGCCGCCACACGTGCTCCCCAGCGGCACCTCTCTTCGTGGCAGTGTTGACGTGTGCCCACCGTGTGCTCAGCGCTGGGCAGAGCGGGGAGTGGTCTCGTGGGGGGAGGGGGAGCGACAGCTTGAGTCCTGCCCAGGCTTTGGCCCCGTCGTGACCTCACACGGGTGCGTCTGTCAGTGGGGAATCGGTGCCTCTTACTTGTGTCCCTCCGGTGCACTTGGCAAAAAGCCTGCAAGTCGTTGCACCCGCTGGAGCGACTGGCCACTTGCCCTTGCCCCCTACATGCCCACCCCAGCCCTGCCTTTCTCATCCGGCTTCCTGTGCTTCTGCTGCTACTTAGGGGCCGCTGTGCGCCGCCGCCCTCCGTAGCCTCTCTCTGCCTGACCCGCTTGCTACCATCCCCTTTGTTGTGCTGCCGGCAGTGCGGCCTCAGGGCATTGTGAGCTCCTGCCGCTGTGTTCAACAACACTGTGTTCAACACGCTGACGAGGAGGGCCTGCTCTGCGGCCTGGGGTGGGGGGGTCACCACACACAGGAGCTGCCGGCTGGCCCGGGCCCGAGACACACGGAGAAAGTGAACCTCTGAGCTGCACGGGGACTGTGCATGTCCTCAACTTTGTGACTGAGCGCTCAGCTTTTAGCCAGTGAGTCTTTGTGACCAGTTTGCTCGCATTTGAGTTGCACATGTGAGAACGTCTAAGATCAGAACGGGAGGAGAATCCGTAGATGTTGGGAAGCTGGCTAATCGTAGGTGAGGCAGGCGGTAAGGGGCTTTGTCGGTCGTCGGGCCTTCCGATGGGCTTCATGGGCGGGTAAATGTGTCTTTAACTGTGTTTGCAAGAGAAGAATTCTCTATGCTTCTAAAAAAATGCATTTTTCTCCTTTTGATGAAAGTTCTGCAACTAGTTCCAGATTTTTGGGTTTCAGGTCAAATTGTTGGTAATTATAGCCGTGTTAACGTGCTCTTTTCTTTGGGTAAGTGTTTAGCCTAAAAAGAATTGAAACCAGCTTTGCTTATTCATATTTCTCTTATTTTTAAAGGTTCATATCTATTTTAATTTTCTGTCCAGAGAGATGGCATTCAGATGGAAGTGTTTACCCCACGCCCGCCTGGCTGGGAGAGGAGCTGCCGGCCAAGCTGGCCAGGTGGTCTGTCGAGAGCAGGAAGAGTGTATTTAGAAGCACCCTGTCCCTCATCCCCATTGTCAAGTACAGCAAGACTTACCAGACGCTCAAGGACAAATACAAAGGCATGGTCAAGGTAACTCGGAGGAAAACCTTTGTGATTCCCTTTGTTTCGATGGGTGACACTGACCAAACATTGGCAGGTTAAGTCACCTCTCCAGTAGATCTTCTAGTTTATCAAGGCGCAGCCATCACGTCAGAACGTACCCACTTCTGGGCCCCCGCGGCAGGCTGTACTTTGACGTTTGTACGTTTGCAAGCTGCAGAAATAGCCACAGATGTATCACGGAGAAGGACCTTTCTTCAGCGCATTGCTCATTTTCCTTTGAGCAAATAGAAGGGAATATTTAATTGAAAATATGGGGCGCCTGGGTGGCTTAGTCGGTTAAGCGTCTGACTTTCGCTTAGATCATGATCTCGCAGTTCGTGGGTTCAAGCCCCGCGTCAGGCTCTGTGCTGACTGCCAGCTCGGAGCCTGGAGCCTGTTTCAGTCTGTGACTCCCTCTCTCTCTGACCCTCCCCTGCTCACGCTGTCTCTCTTCTCTCTCTCTTTCCTAGAAATAAAAATATTTAAAAAAAAAAGAGAAAATAATTGAACATTAGTTACTAAATTGCCACATTTCCTTAGGATGTGCTTAAGGACGTTTAAGGAAAATATATAAAAACTTAAAGTACAAAAGCATATATTTTTAGAATAGAGAGAAATTTCAGAACATGTCCCTTGTTTCACGTGTAAGATATAAAAAGAAGGTAGCAGCAGACCTGTGCTCATGCCCAGAGGAAGAAATAAAGCGTTACTAATGGGGCTGAACTTCTTTTGTACCCTTGCCAGGCACAGCCCTCTTCCTGGAAGGAACCGCAGTCTATCATTTCTATATGTGGCTTTTTGCCAGCTGCCTGTGGTCATGTAACAGAGCACCCTGCAGGTCAGAGGCCGGAGGCAGTGACCCTTCGTTCCTGCTGACGTCTGTGGTCCTAGCCTGGCCGGCCTAAACTGGGGCCCTCCTCTTCCAGATGCTGGTCTGTGAGCCCTTCGTTATCTCACTCACTGTTCAGTTCCTTCAGGAAAGGGCTTCTATTATTCAACCCTTTAAAATTGTCCTTGGTGACCTAGTCCGACCTGCCTAATCTGCCATGACTGGAAACAGAACTCAGAACACAGCGGAACGTGTAACCTTGGCATTGGTTTGCCCTCCCCTGCCAGATAACCTCTGCACGTTGCTGGTTTCGATGATGGGGTGTCACGCCCGTGCAGCTGGTGTTGCTCAGCCTGCAGCACCTGATGGTTGTCCTGGGTGGCGGCTGAGGCTTCCTCTTTAGGCTTTCTCCCTGCTCTTACAGATAGGGAGACGGGGACCAGCTGACAGCCAGTCACCATCAGACCACAGGGCTAGAGCTCTGGCCTCCTGACCTTTTTTCTCTCCTTGCCCATCATGTTCGTTTTCCTCATCTACATAAACGATGGGGACAGGATAGCTGAGAGCTTTCCCCTAAAGTTCTGCTGCCTCATCTGAATGTCTTACATATGTCATTGTTGTTGCAAAGGGCTGCCTTGGATGGCATTGCCCTTGATGGGTCCTAACATAGTAAAAGCTTCCTGTATCTTGGTGCACATCTCTTTTGCAAGAGAGTGATTGTGAGTGTCTGCCTTTGGAATGAGCTTATTTCTTAAGTTTTACTTCCTGATGACTTAGACTCGTGCCTTACGGGTTACTTTAAGGATAGGGAAATGGCTGGGTGCTGGGGCAACGATTTACCTCTGCTCTTGACGGTTTCTCAGGTGTGGCCTGAAGTAACTGATCCTGAAAAGTTCGTGTATGAGGATGTGGCTATTGCAGCCTACCTGCTGGTAAGCACCGGTGTCATCATCTCCGCTCCAATGGGTCGGGGGAAAGTTGCTCCTGGCAGAAGCAATCAGCAGGGAACAGCATGTATCGAATCTCTAACTTGGGTGTCCAGTGCTTGCTATGTTGGAAACACTCATTGCTGTGAAATGAGTCTGGTGGCGAAGCTGAGCACAGGAGCTCCAGGCTAATAGGTGCTTGCTTGCTTGACCGTCGCCATGGCCACGCTGGGTGGCTCTTGCTGCTGGGGGCCCCACGTGATAGGCACTTGCTCTCTGGTCCTGGATCTTTCCTTAGCTAGCTCGCCAGCTCCAAAGTTTGGGTGTGCCCTTTGACGTAACGGTCTTGATTTTAGACTAGATAATTTCCAGTTCCGTTTCCTCTGTGATTCTCCTCGCCTTTTTATAAGTAGCATATTTGCTTTGATTATCGAAGTAAGTAGTCTTGAAGAACGTAGAGAAGGCGTGAGGACGCCGACAATAATCTGAAAAGTTCTCGCCCAGAGATGGCCACGTTAATGTGGACTCTTGATGGAAGACGAAGCTTCGATACCCCCCAGCATCAGGCGAGCGCAGGGGCCCACACCCCTTCGGTTCCCTCTGCCCACCTGCCCAACACCTGCGCAGAAGCCCAGGCCACAGACCTGGCCTCTCCACCGGGTCTGGAAACGCTATCTGTGATCCCACGGAGGGCTTGTGTCTGAATTGTTCTTGGAGTGAATGCATAACTGATTTTTTTTTTTTTTTTTTTTTTACTTAGATTCTGTGGGAAGAAGAGAGAGCTGAGCGGGGCTTGACAGCCAAGCAGTCCTTTGTTGACTTAGGATGTGGAAATGGTCTCCTGGTACACATCCTGAGCACCGAGGGGGTAAGTGCACTCCCCTAGCCGCTTCTAGCTCCTTTTCTGAGGTCTCTTCTCATCCATCACAAGGGTCCTTGGGCTCTTTCTCTGCTGGTACAAGCGGATCCAGAGTCTGCCTGGCCGTTGGACTCGTGACTGAGTGGAGCCGGTGGCCGTTGTGCCGCGTAGCACAGGGCTCGCAGGCGTGCGTGGGTGCGCCTGGAGAACGACAGAGGCCACAGCATGGTGGTGTCCGCCGTCAGGTGCTTCTCTGGGAAACCTGCCGTCAAGGTGTCAAGGCCCTGTAAGGGGATGAAAGGCAAGGTGGATTCTGCCCTGCAGAAGCTTAAGTCCGTTCGGAGGACACTTTCTCCGCTGTGATGTGACGTTTCCGTATGGGGTCTCGCACCGTTATTGGATCCGTGAAGTAAAGACAGGAAGTGTTTAGAATAGCTCCTGTCGCTGGGGGCTGTTCCGTGTTAGTGCGAGCCACCACCTGCCTGGCTGGTGTCAGCCTCCTGCGGAGTCGCCGTCACTCGTTACCTTAGTGCGGCAGCGTCGGGCTCCGTCACGGGGACCCTGGGTGATTTCTTTCTTTTTTTTTAGTGTTTATTTCTAAGAGCAAGAGAGACTGAGTGTGAGCAGGGGAGGGGCAGAGAGAGAGGGAGACACAGAATCTGAAGCAGGTTCCATGCTGTCAGCACAGAGCCCGATGCGGGGCTCCACCTCGTGAACCGCGAGATCACGACCTGAGCTGAAGTCGGAAGGTTAACCGTTGAGCCACCCGGGCGCCCCTCCGCTGATTTCCTCTGAAGGTCGCGTTGTGTCCTGTGTCAGAGATGTTCTGTCCACAGTTGGGGGAACTTGAACCGGGGCTGTTACAGTGCACTTTTAACAGCTTTATAAGAAGACGAGTTCAGGACGCCTGGGTGGCTTTGTTGGTTAAGCATTTGACTCTTAATTTCAGCTCAGGTCATGATCTTGCGGTTTGTAAGTTAGTTCAATCCCCATGTCGGGCTCTGCGCTGACAGCTTGGAGCCTGCTTGGGGTGCCCTTTAATTAATGAGAATTCTCTATAAATAAATAAATACTCTATACATAAGTAAATAAATAAAGGAAAACTGAGTTTGTAACAGCTGTACGCGAGTTGTCTGGAATGTCGGCACATCAGGTGGTGGCCTGCAGGCTGGTGGTGAGGAGGATGGGGTGCCTTATGCATCCCCATCTCCCCGGGGAGCTGGTGGGCATGGGCACGGTATACGGAGGACTGGCCTTGTCTGCCAGCAGGCTAGAGGGGCAGATGTGCTGGGGCCTGCACTTGACTCTGGGCTGCGAGCTGGCTCCTGGGGCAGGGGCCCTGGACATGTTTCCACTCCTTGACTCCATTTCCCTTCATGAAGACACCTGGTGACCCTCAGTGGAGTGCAAGTCCTTAACCTGTGTCTTGCAGGGCCGCGAGTGTCTGCTTAGATCGCTGGGAAGCCGCTGGGGCTGACCGTGAAGGTTAAGGGTCTCGGGCTTCACACTGGTGGCAGTGCCTGCAGAGTTTGATTTGTTCTCTCCGATTCATACTACAGTGCTGATGTTGACCTTTGATCTCTGAAATTATTTCAGCACCCAGGCAGAGGGATCGATGTCCGAAGGAGGAAGATCTGGGACATGTATGGACCGCAGACCTGCTTAGAGGTACTGGCTTTGTCTGTTCGTTTGAGCCCACAGGGCTGTCCCGTCCGTGGTGACCCTTGTTTTACGCATGTGCCAGGTGCGGACCTTTCCAGGTGCCTTGTGCGTGTTAACCAGTCCTACACAGGCCCAGGCGTCGATCCCCTGCCGTCCCCACCACCCCCGGGGCAGGGCACACGCATCACTCGTCTCGTCTCCTGTTCTTGACCATGTTTTCAGCTGATGGGTTACGTTACTTAGATCTTAGTCCATAAATCTTAGTCCACTTGAACCTGTCACGGGCTGAACTTTGAAAAGGTTTTGATGACAGTGTCATAATGGTTTTCAGAAAGGTTTTTCTTCAGACAGTTTCATTTCAGGAAGAATTTTGCCATAAGACACCACTCAGGAAAACAGGAGGAAAGACTAGAGATTTGCATATTTACCAAATATCTGAGTGCCTTCTACCTGCCAGGCAGTCTCAGTGCTGAGACGCAAGAGTGACAGAATGCTGCCTGCTGCCCTCATGGGGGTGGGGGCGCCCCCAGGTGGACTGTGGGTGCAGGGCGCTAGGTGAGAGGTGTGGAGTGTAGTGGCCCCCTGGGGAGGGCAGGAGGCAGGAAGTCCGGGAGGGAAGGTGGAATGCAGCCGGGCTGCGGGGCCACGGACAGGGCGGCACAGTTGCTCTGAGCCCGTGACCATGGGGCCAAGGTGGACCCAAGTCACTCCCGCCTCGCTCTGGAGTAGCTCACTCGCCCTGCTGTGGTCAGAGAGGAATGTGTCCCTGAGGGAGAAGGTGACCGGCCGCATCAGGTCTGGTGTCCAGTGCGGATGGTGTTGGGGTCTGGTCGAAGTCTCCAGGCCGCCCTGCGGGCACTCAGCAGCAGGGTCCACGCCCACGGCTCTATCCCCTCCCTGCCCCCCCCCCCCCAGCTGCCCAGTGTCCGCTCAGCCACCCCAGGTGCCTCAAGACCTTTGTCCTGGAGTTCAGTGCAGGGGTGCAGAGGGCAGAGCGCCAACCAGGCTGGCTCTTTGTGTGTGGTTTCCAGGGACGAGCCTGGGCCCCCAGGGCTCCTGAGCCCGGCCGTTACTCTTTCCGCCTCCCACCCGGCCCCACTGCCCTCGGAGACAGACCTCTGCTCTGTTGTTCCTTCTGCAAATAGAAAATAAAACTGACCGTTTCTGTATTTTCTCTCTGCCATAAGTTACTTTCTTTTGAAGTTAAGGATGATATTGCAAAAAATACCGCAAGAAATAAAAAAGATTAGTGGAGGGAAGTTCATTGTAGCCTTTGCTCATGTCTTCGTTGTGTATTTGTTTTGCTTTGTAATATAGGAATTGGTACTTGCGTATACGTTCACACATCATCATAGGTTAAAACGTTGAGAAAACCCTCAGGCTTGAAGAGAGTCGGTGAGCCAGGCGACGGGCTGGGGGCCTGCGGACACCCACGTGTAACATGCGCCACCTGTGCCCTGGGTGACGTCTGGCACCCGGTTTGGTGGTGGCGATGTGCAGGGCAGCAGGGTACGCGGTCGGTCTCAGGATCCCCTGGGTCCCCGTGTTGTGTGAGAAAGCAGAGTAATTCTTCAGGTAAGAAGTTCAGATGGCAGCTGAACAGGCCCTCTGTTTAGTCATTGACCCGAGGGCAGAGCTGGCTTGTGCGAGGTACCCCGTGGAGAACAGGAAGAAGGTTCTAGTTCTATACTTGAGGGTCCCCGGCCCTCTGACTCTTCTGTGGAGGGGAAATCCCTGCCCCAGCCCACTCATTCCAGGCCTGCTGAGAAGGTTCTGGGCTCTCATCTCGTGTGGATTGTCCAGCAACACCTGGACCGGCAGCGGTGGTGTGGGGCCCGCCGGCTCTCGCGGGCAGCACGAGGGAGGGCGCGGCCCACTGTGCCCTTACCCCTGCTGCGGGGCCACGGCCAGACCCGGGCACGTGCTCGTGGGCCAGGACGTGGTGCTTGTCTGTGCCCTGGCACGTGAGTGAGTGCCGTGAGCAGGGGCAGTCTGTACGGCTGCCAGGCGTGAGTTTAAGCGCTAGTTTAAAAAAATTTTTTTAATGTTCATTTATTTTTGAGAGAAAGAGTGCTAGTGAGAGAGGGTCAGAGAGACAGGGAGACATAGAACCCAAAGCAGCTCCAGGCTCCGGGCTGTCAGCACAGAGCCCCATGTGGGCCTCGAACACGAACCGTGAGATCGTGACCTGAGCCGAAGTCGGACGCTTAACTGACTGAGCCCCCAGGTGCCCCAAAAACACCAGTGTTTTTTTTGTTTTTGTTTTTTACAAATAGTTTATTGTTAAGTTGGTTTCCATATAACACCCAGTGCTCATCCCCACAAGTGCCCTTCTCCATGCCCATCTCCCCCCACCACACACCCCCTTCAGTCCTCAGTTTGTTCTCAGCATTCAAGAGTCTCTCATGGTTTGCCTCCCTCCCTCTCCCCCACTCTTTCCCCCCTTCTTCTCCCCCACGGTCCTCCGTTAAGTTCCTCCTAATCCTCCCATACGTGCAAACATATGGTATTTGTCCTTCTCTGCCTGACTTATTTCGCTCAGCATAACACCCTCAAAGTCCATGTTGCTATACATGGCCAGATTTCATTCTTTCTCATTGCCATGTAGTATTCCATCGTATAGATAAACCACATCTTCTTGATCCGTTCGTCAGTGGATGGACACTTAGGCTCTTTCCATGTTTTAGCTATTGTTGAGAGTGCTGCTATGAACATTGGGGTCCATGTGCCCCTATGCACCAGCACTCCTGAATCCCTTGGGTAAATTCCTAGCAGTGCTACTGCTTAAATTTTTGAGGAACCTCCACACTGTTTTCCAGAGGGGCTGCACCAGTTTACATGCCCACCAACAGTGTAGGAGGGGGCCCGTTTCTCCACGTCCTCGCCAGCATCTAGAGTCCTCTGATTTGCTCATTTTAGCCACTCTGACCAGCGTGAGGTGGTATCTCAGTGTGGCTTTGATTTGTATTTCCCTGATGAGGAGGGATGCTGAGCATCGTTTCATGTGTCTGTTGGCCATCTGGATGTCCTCTTTGGAGAAGTGTCTGTTCATGTCTTCTGCCCATTTCTTCACTGGGTTGTTTGTTTTCGGGTGTGGAGTTTGGTGAGTTCCTTATAGATTTTGGATACTAGCCTTTTATCTGATATATCATTTGGAACTATCTTCTCCTCTTCTGTCGGTTGCCTATTAGTTTTATTGATTGTTTCATTTGCCGTGCAGAAGCTTTTAATCTTGATGAGGTTCCAATAGTTTATTTTTGCTCTTGATTCTTTTGCTTTTGGGGATGTGTCAAGTAAGAAATTGCTGCGGTTGAGGTCAAGGAGGTTGTTTCCTGCTTTCTCCTCTAGGGTTTTGATGGTTTCCTGTCTCATATTCAGGTCCTTTATCCATTCTGAGTTTATTTTTGCAAAAACATTGGTTTTAAATGACGTATTGTGAAGATCGCGAAGTGTCTGAATCTCGTTAAGACGCTATGTAGGAGATCTGCTACAATTTGCTGGGTTCAGAATGTTGATGCAACAGGCAGGGCCTTGCCATCTGACGCGCTGTTGGCCCGGCTGTGATGCTGGCTGTGTGAACTGCAGATCATGTGCTCGTTAATGCAGGCCGTTTAAAGAGAACTAGACAAATTTAAGTCTGCATTGGTCTTTCCTGATTTTAAATTGCGCAGACACCCGTTGAGCTGTCCTGCTTTCAGTGTTTTCATATATGTGTAAATAGAATCACAGATGCTTATTCAAGAATCAGAAAGATGGTAGAATTTACGTCTACTTTTGAGTACATAACGTCCACAAAGGGCTTGGGGTTCTGTTGTCGTAAGGAACGGCCTTGGACGGAAGTGTCCTCCGGTCTTCCTGCTTTGTTCTGATCAGGGAGTAGCAGGTGTGCTTACTTCCCTCAGTGGGGGAGGGGGTTATTCTTCAGTTTTAAAATTAAGAGGATTTTGAGTGGTTGTATGTATCCATTTTCCTTCCAGCTCTTACCAACAGACCCGGTCTCGGGGCCTGACTCGCATCATCTGTGATGGCCTGCTGCTTAGCCGAAAGAACAGGGTGTTTACATAGAGTTCCTAAGTCATAAAGTGAAGCTGTTCTCAGCTTAATTACAGGAGTTCTCAGAATGGTTGACCTGCCTGCTTAGTGAGATTTTCCTTGGCGTCTGAGCGTTTGTAGAAGGTAATCTCGTAATAGAAGGTGTATTGTTACCACCTAAACTGCGGCGGGGTTCCTGGCCTCACCCTCAGGTTCGTAGGGGTGCCGCAGCGCGCGCACGGGCCCGGGGTTGGGGGTGCCTTGTGTCACATAGCAGATCAGCCTCAGGCCGCTCGCCGCCTCCTACCTGCTCCGTCTGCCCAGGTGGAGGCCGCTCCATCTCCCGTGGCTCCTGTGTACGTTTGTAGAGAAGTGCATTCTGTTAGAAGCTTATTTAAATTTATTTTGAGAGGGAGAGAGAGCAGAGGAGGGGCAGAAAGAGAGAGAGGGTCCCCCGCAGGCCCCACGCTGTCAGCGCAGAGCCCGACTCAGGCTCTGTGTCATGAACCGTGAGATCATGACCTGAGCCGCCCAGGCGCCCTGAGAAGCACATTTTTCAGGATCCAAAAGAGATGAGTCACCAGCATTTTTAGTTTCTCAAGTCACGATGCTGCACTCATGCCCCTGGGCGGACACCCGTGCCTGTGAGGCCCCGGGGCTGAGCTTCCTGGGGGCTTCACCTCAGTAGCTCTGTGCTGCTTTACTGAACACGGGGTTTTATTTGTGTGTTTCTTTTAGGAAGGCGCAATCACACCCGGTGATAAGACCCTTTTCCCGGACGTTGACTGGGTGATTGGTAACCACTGTGATGAACTGACGCCATGGATACCTGTCATCGCAGCCAGGTGCATGGGGACGGATTTTGTTGCCTGAGCCTCGGCGTCCAAAGCTAGTCCTTGCGGCCGTCGAGCACTGAAGACGCAGCTGGTTCAAGCTGTGGAAATGATAATGTGCCGAACGTACTGGGCCAGGACGAGAGTCTAACTGCTTTTTTTTTTTTAATGTTTATTTATTTTTGAGAGAGAGACAGAGCGTGAGCAGGAGAGGGGCAGAGAGGGGGTAACAGGATCTGAAGCAGCTCCAGGCTCCGAGCTGTGAGCACAGAGCCCTATGTGGGGCTCGAACCCAGGAACCATGAGATCATGACCTGAGCCGAAGTCAGACACTCAACCGACTGAGCCACTCAGGCACTCCGTCTAACTGCTTGATTTTACTGCTTAAAATATGGTTAGAAAACACAAAGGTGCACCTGATTAGTGCTGGTGAAAGGTGGTTGGTTCTGCAGGATTTCTGTCCAGCATTGGGAGACGTCGTGTTTTGGAAGTTTTTGTCTGAGAACAGGAGTGTTGTCTCCAGAGGGAAAACCCACCGACCCCGAGACGCCTCCCGGCAGCACTGGCCTCTCAGAGGGGGCCGTGCCTGTGGCCGTGCCGCTCGGTCAGGCAGGGGCTTTGTGAACTCGCAGGTCACGGTGGTGCCCATATATTTTGTTGCTGCGGCTCCTGATCCCAGTTTCTTCTGAACTGTCCAGCTCTCGGGGGGTAACGTAGGTCCCAGAGCAGTCATAACCTTTGTCGCGGCCGCCCTTAAAATCTCACTCACAGCCGAAATCCCCAAACACTCCGGGCAGGTTTAGTTTCAGTGGATCAGAATAGCTGTGGCGGGACGCGCTCTGTAAAGGTCGTTAGGGTCTGCCTACCTTCCGGAAGGATAGGCTGCGCTGTGTCGCCACCAGAAGTGGAATTAGGGAGAGCCGGGGTGCACTTTCTTGTCTGGGACCCGGTGGGGGGGGGTGCGGCAGATCCTCCTCTTTTGCCCTGATGTGCGATAGCCGTGTGGCCCTGTGCTGAAGTTTTTATTTTGGTTTTTGTGGGTTGTGTTCGAAGGTCTTCCTACCGCTGCTGCTTCTTCGTCCTTCCCTGCTGCTTCTTCGACTTCGTGGGGAGGTACGCGCGGAGGCAGAGCAGCAAGACGCAGTACCGCGAGTACCTGGACTTCGTGGCAGAGGTGGGGCTGGCCTGCGGCTTTCGTGTCGAAGAGGATTGCCTGCGCATTCCCTCCACCAAAAGGGTGCGTCCTGACCACTGGGGTGTCCTTGGTGTCCTCGGTGGGCCGTCGGCCTCTGGGTGGAGGGTCTGGGGCCGTGTCACGGAGCCACAGGGGACCCTGTGGTGTTTGAAAGTGGGAGGGTTCCAGGAGGTGCCTGTGCCTCAGCTGAGATCACAGCATTTCAGTCCCTGGTGGGGTCAGAGGGCTCGCTCTGTCCCTGTGCCGTGCCCTGCCCCCCCCTCCCCCCCTTGGAGGCCTCTGGCCGTTCCTTCTCGGGGCCTGTAGCAGCTTCACAGGAGCCCCGCCCTGGATCCTCATTTCCTTCCCAGAGCAGGCAGCAGCCGGACTTGAGCACAGCGTCCCCAGCTGGTTTGTCTGAGGCTGCATGCTTTGCCTCCCGGGTCCCCCAGGTCCCCGGTCATGGGCTGAACCTGAAGTTCGGTTCCAGCTTCGGAGTGGCTCAGTGTCTCGTTGCGAGCCTCAGTCATCCCGATGTGCCTGCAGTGTGCTGTGCCCAGCAGCCGCTGGCCCTCTCTCGGTCTGTGACAGTGGCGGGCGTGCACCCTGGGACCTGCCAGCGGTCAGGGCGGACTCCGCAGCGTTGCCGCTCGTCCCCTGAGGAAGTGGTGGGAGGTCCTGCTGTCGGTTTCTGTTCATCTCTGAGAACTCCCAGCAGACTCTGCGGCTGTCGGCGGGCTTCTTTCCACCAGCGAAGCACAAAGCCCGTCATAGCCAGGTTATAAGCTTGATGGCTTGACGCGGTAGAAGGGACCAGGGACAGGTTCAGGCGAGCTCTTGGCTCCGGCACATCCTGGGCACATTGCGCTGCATCCCTGTCCTCGTCTGTCCGAGGGGAGGAGAAGCTCTCCTGGGCGCGTCTCGGGGACTAGATAGCACGGTGCCTTCACCGTAGCGCTCCGTGGTGGCCGTGAGGGACCTACGGTGGCCTCAGGTACGTCATTGCTGCCGATGCCGCCACTGCTCACGTCACCGTGAGAGTGTTCTTGAGGACTCCGCTTCGGAGCCACCGTGTGCTTCTCCCAAAGGCCCTCTGCCTTGGCAGGCCCTGGCTGAGGCTGGGGTGGGTCCTGGGTACTGCCAGAATTCGGGTCACGCCGGTGGGTGCCTGACTGGTGGTGGAGATCACGTGCCGGTCCTCGGCCTGTCTGAGCCTCGGCTCCCGTGTTACCCTTGGTTGGGAGCAGACGCAAGGGCACGTGTCCACACAGGGCAGCTCTCCACCAGGCCCGGGTCCCCCCGGCATGCTCATCCTGGCGCAGTTAGATCGCCAGCCCGGGACCACGCCTACAGCGGGTGGCAGAGCTGGAGGGCAGTCAGGGGCGGCTCTCTGGTAATTAGATTCGCTTTCTTTCATTGCCTCTGACCTGGCCTTGCAGCTCATGGCCGGGAGGAGGTCCAGAGAGGCCGGGCCCAGGGCCGTATCGCTCGCCCGGGGGCTCCAGCGCGCAGGCAGCCTTCATCCCATGGGCACGTGCGAGGGCCGACAGTGTGCGGAGTGGACATCCACGCTGTGCCAAGTGCTGCCTCCCCTCACTCTGTCAAGGTCGAGAGAGGGACGTCTCGTTTTGAGAGCTCTGGGTGCCGTCAGAGTCTGCACACGAGGGGGGTGCGCCTGAGGAAGGCTCTCACGAGTGCCGTCTTTGCAGCAGGCACGGCCGTGGGCTCAGTGTGTGTAGACGCGTGACCCGTGTCTGAAAGTCCGAGCCACGAGATCCTTCATGGGCTTTGGCTCTTGGTTTACTTGGGACGTTTATATTGGTGCTTGTTTTTAAAGTAGGCGTTTCTTTCATGATAAACGTCAAAACTTTGAATGTAATTTGCACCGTGGAACGAGAGACTGGCACGGAAGATGCTGACGAGCTGTGGGTTTCCCCCTGCAGGTGTGTGTCATTGGGAGGTGCAGAACGTACCCGCCCGCGGAGGAAGGCTCCATGGATGCGCAGAGGACCCGGTACATCAACAGCAGGCAGGGCTGCCCTGGGGGCCCACCCGGCTGGGAGTCAGTCCTGCCCGGCCCCCAGTCCGCTGCGGCACGTGCGGATCACCCCGATGGGTGCCGAGCCCCGGGTGCTGGGGCTGCCGAGGGCGGGGCGGAGGCGCGGGCCGCCGGACTCTGGCTGTCTGGATTCCAGCCGCGAGAAAAGGCCGAGCGCGTGAGGAATTGTGCCGCCCTCCCGCGAGATTTTGTTAACCGGGTGGTTTTGCAAGTGGCCCATTTGCTGTTGGACAGAGAGCAGTCGCACGCAGGAAGTTCTCCGAACGGGAGTGTGAAGGTCTGGAACCGAGGAGGTGAGTCCCCAGCGCCCGGCTGCGATGTCCTGCTGGGTTCCGGGCAGTGGCTCGGCCCTCCTTTGCGCCCAGCGTAGAATTGTGTGGTCATTTTTAATTACGTGTATTTTGAAGAGACCTTGATGGTAAACAGGCCACCTACATGTTTGTTTAAAAATTTTTCATACAGCTCTTCTTAGCACACAGGACGGCTCCCCTGGAGGATGGAGCCGAGGGCAGATGGTAGTGTTTGGGCCCATAAGTGACCTTTACTGTCGTGTCCAGGCTTCTGGGTGTAGAGCCACTCACCTCCCCTCTGTAGAAATGATCCAGACCGAAGGCAGGGTCCCGAATGCCAGGAGGGCATGCTATCCCCTTGAACATAAGATAGCATTTCAGAGATTTCGTGGTTTGATAAAAGGCGGCTCTCTTTGAAATCCCCCAAACGGCGCAAGTCAGACGTGATAAAAGGAGAGCGCAACACAGGGTTGTTCTCAAGTGGCATTCGGGAGAGTTAGGAACCCAAGTGTGGTTTTTGATGATTTTTGTCAAGTTGTGAAGCCACGCTGCCAGTCAGCACCAGAGGGCGCCGTGGAGCCGCCTGGGTCCCATGGTGCCGGAGACTTGCCTCTGAGATGTTGGTGTCACTGAGGAACCGGAGGAGCCCTGTGGGCGGGGCTCCAGGGAGGAGGCGGGGCCAACCGGCCTCTGTGCTCCTGACGTCCGACGTCCTGCCCGGGGTGCGCTTCATGCCGGCCTCCCTGGCCGCTGTGCAGCCGCTGCATGGCAGCGCCCTGAGGCCTCTCCTCTCCTCTGCGAGTCACCCTACCCTGCTGGCGTCTGATCAGGGGAGCCTCTCTAGGGGTGAGGTGGGGTCCTGGCCAGAGCCCCCAGCCCCGTGGCTGCTGACAGGGCCGGAACTGGGTGCAAGCCAAGGGGCCGTGGGCCGTTGTGTGGGTCGGCACCTCACTTCCCAGTGCGCCCTGCTGAGGCGGGGGCTTCTGGCCAGGGCTCGAAGGGCACGGGGCCACAGCAGGTGGGCAGGAGCCTCAGAGACATCCGGGCAGATCTGGAAACGTGGAGTCTGGCCTTCACACCCCAGGGTAGCCCTGTCCTCTGCTAGGCCCTTTGGGCTTGATTGAGCTCGGGAGGCTCTGGCCTGTGCTGGGGACGGACCCTTGCTGGGCATACTGGTGTGTTCCCGGGCTCTGGGGGGACGGCCGGCGGATCGGTCATCAGATCTGCCGTGCGTTGGAAACACTTGTGGGGCTGGTGCTGCCCCCCCATGGGTCTCAGTGGTCTGCGGCTGGCCTGAGGCCGTCCCTCTGCCCACCCGTCTGCCCTGCGGGAGAAGCATGCTCCGGTGACGTGGATGTGGTCCTTGGCCTCTCAGCCCACAGGTGGTCTTCCCACCTTTCGGTTGCAACTGAAAGCAACCTCTCCAGCCTGCGCTTATGTGACGTGCAAGTGGGTCAGACCCCTGGACCCATGTACCTCAGTCTGGGTCTGCCCTCTGCAGGGCATGGCCGAGGGGGCCCAGGGCAGGCGGAGGTGGTCCCTGCCCACACGCTTGGGTCAAGGCACGCACATGTCTAAGGGTGAACAGCTGGGAGGGAGTAGCACCCGGGAGCGAGTGTGAGGCTGGAGCTGGGAGGGCAGCCCGGGAAGGCTGTCCGGGCCGAGTCCTGCTTGCTCTCGAGTGGCTTTGGGGCAGCTGAGAGGGGTATCCTGAAGGACGGTGGACGCTGGTAGACGGAATCACAGCCACAGGGGGCAGCCTCCCCTGGGCGTGCGGGGCAGGCTGTGCAGGAGTGCCGGGTTTCTGGGGCAGGGGGTGGGGCACCTGCGGAGTCGTTGGGTGGGAGTAGGTGAGCCCCAAAGTGCAGGGCCTGCGGTGGGAGGCCCCTGGCATCCCGGGTGCTGATGGCTCTGCCCACGCGTGGCCTCTGTGACATTTAAGTGATCTCCCAGTCCTTCCTGCTGACGTGCGCGAGGGGCTGGAGCCAACGGAAGGGCCCAGCAGCGAGCCTGTTTCACGGTTTCTGACCGCCTTTTCGTTGGTTCCGGGGAAACCCGGTTGTCAACAGGAAGCCTCTCACTGGCAGAAGTGGCCGCGAAGCTGGACGCGGAGACCCTGCGGAGGCTGAAGCGGGAGTGCGGCGGCCTGCAGACGCTGCTCAGGAACAGCCACCAGGTGTTCGAAGGTAAGGGATTGAGCCTGTGTTTTTTATTCTTTTTTATTTTTGAGAGACAGTGTGTGCACACGAGCGAGAGGGGCAGAGAGAGAGGGAGAGAGTCTTAGCAGGCTCCATACTCAGTGAGGAGAGCCTGAGGCAGGGCTCCATCTCACAACCTGCACCAAAATCAAGAGTCTGATGCTTAACCTTAACTGACTGAATCACCCAGGCGCCCCTCCCCCTGCGTTTCCTGTTAAGGAAAGTTTATGTTAGGGGAATTTGAGATTCCTAGGAGAGTGGGAGAAAGTACTGAGTTCCCCTCTGCCCATGCCCTGTGCCTGCCTGGCGTCTTCACCCGATGGGACGTTAGCCACACCTCCTCTCTGATTCTCTCCGGTCCCATCAGGCACTGCGCCCCCCAGGCCTGGCCTTACCCCCGTCCGGGTGTGCTCACGCCTCACACAGAAGAAAGAGTGAGTCCAGAAGCCTGCTGGCTGGGTGCGCCGGAGGACTTCCTGAGGGGGGGAGGTTGTTAATTGCATTGGCCTTCGGCCTGCAGACTGGAAACATCCCGAGGTCCCCGCTGGGCCCTGGGCAGTTGTGGGGGACCCTGACTCCTGCCTGCTCCCCACCAGCATGCCTGCACTGTGCCCTTGGGGCCAGGCTGTCGCCGCTCCCTGCACCAGGGCTCGGGAGTCCAGGACCGCCAGGAGGGCGAGGGCCTGGGGCCTGTGCTCTTCTTCTCCGTCTGCACAGCAAGGCAGCCACCGTCCCTGCCTCCTGGGGTCTGCGGTCTGATGGGGAGGGGACACGGAACAGGTGTTCACGTGGGTGCCTGGGGCTAAAAGAAGTTCTCTCAGGTAGAGTTCTCTTTAGGTTTTTGTTATTGAGAGAAATAGAGACAGAGCACAAGCAGGGGAGGGGCGGAGGGAGAGGGAGACACAGAATCCAAACCAGGCTCCAGGCTCCGAGCTGTCAGCGCAGAGCTTGACACAGCGCTTGAACGCACGAGCCGTGAGATCATGACCTGAGCCGAAGCCCAACCGACTGCACCCCCGGCGCCCCTATTTAGAGTTGGCAGTGCACATCTATCATCCAGGTGGTTGATGATTTGCTGTGTTTTTTGAAATCTCTTTCCGCCTTTGATCTTCATGGAAGTGTTTCGAGCATGGCGCGGCCTGCCTGCTCTCTCACTAAGTGCCTCGCTGGTGGCTGTGAAGATGGTGGCATCTCTTTCCCCACGCCAAGCCTGCCTGCTTGCTCCCGCCCCCATGCCGGTGCCCTGGCCTCTCTGGTGGCTTAGCCGTAGTTCTGGACCAGAGCTGGGGGTCTTTCCTAAACCGCCTCCCACCCGCCCCACCCAGTCCTGGCTCTCTGGGCTCCCAGGGTCTGCATGTGCTCCGTCACACGGCCTCCTGCATTTGGTCACGTCATCTAGGTAGATCATGAGCTCCCCGTGGATGGGGGCAGTCCGAGGGGCAGCCCGGAGCCCGTCTCTGGATGAAGAAGGGGAAGTGGCCCAGTGAGGAGGGCCCGTTTATCCAACCTCCTCGCAGGGGTAATGATGGGGGGGAGACCATTGCGTCCCGGAGTCCCAATCCGTGCGGTGCTGTCATCACAGGAGGAGAGGGAGGCCCAAGGGCCTTGTGGAGGGATATGGGCAGCTGGCCGAGCCCCAGGACCTGGGCCTGTCCCCACCCCCCAACCTGCATGCTGCCGCGGCTGAGGGTGGTTGGCCGGTGGCTCAGGGCAGGAGGCCACAGCTGACGGAAGCACTTCTGTGCGCTCCCAGCCTAAGGGAGTTGAGTACAGCCACCTTCTCGTCCCTGCCCGCGCATGTACATGCGAGAGCTGGGGCGTGCACAGCCCTCAGACGTGCACATGAGAACTTGGGTGTGTGCACAACCCCTGTGTGCACGTAAGAGCTCGGGTATGCACGGCCCCTATGTGCATGCAGGGAGAGCTTGGGTGTGCACGGCCCCCACATGTGCTTGGGAGAGCTCGGGTGTGCACCGGAGAGCTCAGGTGCGTACACAGCCCCTGTGTATGATGTGAGAGCTCGGGTGTGCACCCCTGCAGTGCCTCTGGGTGGCCTCGTTGCCCTGTGGAGCTGGACTGATTTCATTTAGACCTGACTTGGCTGAGGAAGGGCTCACGATGGCACCAGGCCTCGGAAGCAGAGCCGGAGGCCCCGTATTTGAGGTGGGTGCAAACGCTGAGGCCTGCGGCTGGCAGCGCCCATTGAGGGGCAGAGAAGCCGGGAGGGGGCGGCCTTCCCGAGCAGGCGGTTACTATGCAGGCTGCTCGGGTGGCTGCCTGGAATCTGGTCTCTAGTTCACAAGGCTTTTCTCGATTAAAATGCTCACTGTAACCGGGCAGGGCCGCTCTGTTTTTGCCAGCGCCTTATTTTGTTTGACTTTGTGAAATCGTATCTTTTTTTTTTCACATTATAAATATGCATGTGGGCCATCACTTTCTGTGTGGTTGACGTTGGGGGGCGTGTTTATTTTTGGAAATACTTCTGAGTAGGCGGCTCTGGGGCTGAGCTCTGAGTACACACTCTGCCTGCAGTCACACAGAAAATATGCACTGAAGCTGCGTTTATCTCTCAGGGCGTTTTATTGTATTTTTTTGAGGGTGTTTGAAATCTTAGTGGCTGGTCTCCAGTCGTGTTTACAGGATCCAGGGGTGGGATCGACTTCCAAGGCCCTCAGTTACTCCCACGCAGGCACCATGGCAGGAAGCCACCTCTTTGGGGTGGTGTGCAGGGTGCAGGCCTGGTGCGTGCTGGGGTCAGGGGTCAGAGCAGCCCACCGGGGTGGCACGGGGGCGGCAGCGGCTGAGCAGTCCGTGCCCGTGGTGCCTTCCATCCCTGTGCCAGCCGCGTTGAACTTGTGGCCGCAGCTGAACTCTGGGGACTTGCTCCGAGTCTCGAATGTTGAGGCTGGACTGGCAGCCCCGGGGCACGTCTGATCAGGGTCTGAGCCCGGGGCCCTGCTCGGGTAGATGGCCCACAGTGACTTTCGGGGACCGTCTACAACCAGTTCCCCAGGGCACTTTGGTGAAGGCAGCGTCTGCTGTGAGAAGGGGGGACGGCTGGACCCGCAGGTCATGTGCCGTGTTCAACTGGTCCTCGGGAGTGTAACTCGGGGAGGGAACAGACGTCAGAGAAGTGAACTCGGGTGGCACGGACCTTGTTCCTGTGATTCCAGTGTTGAATCGGGAGCGTATGTATGTCTGTGGGGAGAGCCCCTGGCGGTCTGGCCTGGCAGCTGCAGCCTGCCAGCGCGGGCGCACCCAGAACGGGAGGGGGTGTCAGGGGCCGCCCTGGGTCCCGGGATGTCGGGGCCCATCCTCTGTCATTAGTGCTCACTCCTCGGGCCTTAGAAATCCTGGCGCCTCGGAGGCCTCCTAGCTCGTGACCCCACTGTGGAGGGCCTGCAGGGAGCCAGCCTGTCCTCGGGGAGAGACCCCTGTGGAGGTGGGGTCCGTCCCCAGCTTTGCCCCCCCCCCCGCCCCAGGTTGCTCTTGAACACATCCGGGCCTGTGGGCCCTGCTGAGGGCTCCTTGCCTTTTGGGGTGCACGCCTGGTGGGAGTCTCGCCTCAGGCTCCTTTGGGACACGCTTTGGGGCCGCAGCGTCTGGCAGTGGGGCACCTGGTGGCTCCTGGTGATGGTTCCCGACCTGAGCTCCCACACGGAGGCCGGGGTCAGCCCTGCGGGGAGCAGGCAGGAGGCCGGCTCCAAGGAGGGGACAGTCGTGCTGGCCCCGTGTAGGTGCCCTTGACCGCCCGTGCCCGAGGCACCCCCCGCAGCCCCTTTCTCTGGTTAAAGGGAAAATGGCTTCTACACGGCAGTCCGCGAGGACATACTGCCATCACGCGCAGTGATCTGAGAGCAAGTCCCGCCTTCCGTCAGTGCTCTCACGCCCTCGTTAGCAGTCGGAGATCCGGTTTTGTTCAGGAAGTCTCCGTTCCCCCCGAGCTGTTCTGTCCACAGCTGGTCTCCATGTCCAGGGAGCCCGGGCGGCCTTAGCCACTTTGGGCAGGTTTCCCTGGAGTTGCTGGCGTCCGGGGTGAAAGCGGGTTGAAAGCCTGTGGCGAGTCTCGCCCGAGTTGGGGTGACCAGCTCAGGGGGCAGCTTAGTGGGGGGCCCGGTAGGCCCCTGGGGTCTTGCCCCCCCCCCCCCCCCCCCCCAGCGCTCCAGGCTGGCCTCTGACTCCCTGTTGATGTGGTCGCTCTCCCCCAACCCACCGTGTCCCCCACCTGCTGTCCCCCCACCTGCCGTGTCCCCCCTGCCATCTCCCCACCTGCTGGTGGGGGCTCTGGTTATGGGGGTGCCAGCAAACCCTCCTCTTCGCCTGCCTGGAAGGACCTTGCTCATTTGCTCTGACCAGAGGCGGGGCTCTCGGGACAGGTGGCCATGCAGGTCCTGAACTTGTGCTCTCACGCCATGGGCTCCCAGCCGTGGGCTCCCAGCCCTCGGCCTCCTTCCCCACAGGCCCCTCCTGCTGCTGTCCCCACCGCGCATCCCCGTGGTCACGTCCTGGGTCTTGTGACAGCACGCCCTCAGCTTCCCTACACCTCTTCACCCCTGCCCTGGTGACCCCTGCCCCCGCTGGCCCCTGCCCCCGGTGACCCCTGCAGGCTCCCCCGCCTCCTCACTCCCCACCCCTCACTGGGCCCTGCCTCCATGCTCCCCTTCAGGCTGCACTGCTGGCGTCGGGCGGGGCTGCCCGGCTGGAGATCCCCGTGCCTGGGCTCCTCTCTGCTGGGGCGCCGCTGCCCCGAGTCGGGCTCCACAGCTCCCTGCGAGTTGGTGCACTTGGAGGGTGACGCCTGGGCCGTGTCTCTCTCTCTCTGTCTGAACCGCAGTTCTGAACGGGCGAGTTCACATCCGCGACTGGAGGCAGGAGCAGCTACGGAAGCAACAGCGGCCAGAAGCGAAGGAAGCCAAGCGCCGGCTGTTCTCAGAAGCCTTCAAGACGCGCGCCTGCTGGTTTTTCAGCCACCACCCTGATGGCTGTGCCCTGCCCTCGGACTGCTGCCCGTTTGCCCACGGGCCGGAGGAGCTGCGGCCGGCCCGGATGCCCAGGAGGAAGCAGGTTCTGTGACGCAGGCCCGGCAAGGGGGCCGGGGCGCGGGGACAGCAGGCCGGGCTGGCTGGGTCGGTGGCCTCGGGTTTCCGCCAGAGCGTGACCTTCTGTGACACACACTCACGCCGCTGCGGTGTCCAAGCCCTCGGTCTGCGTTGTGAGCAAGGTCACCCCTAACCGGCCAGCCTGTACCTCGGGGAGAGCGCCCGGAGTTCTGGTCGCATCTCCTAGTTCTGGGGGCGGGGGACGTGCCCGGGCCGCCCGGCCCTCTCAGGGGCCCGCTTCCCGCTCGCCTGGCCCCGTGAGAACGGCCTGCCCCAGGGAGCGCCACCCTCCCACCGCCTCCCCCTGCCCTGGGAATCTGGCCACCGGGGCCATCGCCACGCTGGCGTTCTGGGAGAGCTGTTGCACTCGGATGTGCAGGTCACTTTCGTTACGGAGAATAAGAAATGCCCCTAATCTCCTCAGCTGCGTCACTCTCTGTGACGTGAAAAAGAAAATCCTAAGTAACACACAGTGAGGCCGGAAAACAGATTTATCACAGAGGCCAAAACCGCCCGCCCGCCCGCCTCTACTAGGTCGCCTCCCTCTGAGTGCTGTTCGTCATTCCTTTGATTCTGGGGAGGAATCCAGTGTCCTTGTGTTTAACACTGTTTTCGGTTTCACGTGAAAGGCCACGTCTCTACACACTGTCCGGCCTGTCGGCAAGGGCACCGTGCACGCACCCTGGGGCCTTTCGTCATGTGGCTGTTCTTGGTTCACTCGTGACGATGACAGTAAATTCCTCCCTTTCCCCGAGCCGTGTCTCAGCGTGGCACAGCCCCAGGAGTGCCAGCCTGCAGGGGCGAGGGGCGAGGGGAGCAGCCGGTGGGCCTGGGGGCTGTGTCGTTTCCCGCCCCAGGCTCTCCCCGCATGAGGCTTCTGGGTGGCGCCCCGCGGGCTCTGATGGGCTTGGCCGGTGCGAGGAGCCCCCTTCTGCCGCTTCTGCAGGGCGTGCCAGCCTGGTGTGGGCAGCCGCGCCTGGCTGAGCGGAAGGAGAAGGGCCCGGGTTCCCAATGCTGGCGCCGCAGCCTCCCCGCCTCCGGCCTCCATCACCAAGATGAGTGCCTTCCTCAGCGTGAGGCCAGCGAGTTGAGGTTTCCGTTAACTCTCTGCCCAGCACGTGTGGGATGATTCCCATCGGGACAAGCCCTCTGGCCTCCCCGCTGTGGGATCAGGCCTGGGGCAGCCCCCCTTTCCCTCCCCTCAAAAGGGGAGCACCTCCTTACAGGGAGGTTTGAAGGGGGACTCCTTGCACAAGTCAGGTGCTCCACCAGCTGAGCCCCCGACACCCCCAGATGGTTTCCATCCTAACTAGTCTCTGAGCGGTTGGTGTGTCTCCCGTTGCAGCCAGGTACTGTTAATCCTGTTCAGTGACCCGAGTTCTTCTGAAATTTCAGATACTATGGTTTTGTTCTTACAAGTAACTTCTTCTGAAATGTATTTTTTCAGCCTTTATCAGTTAGATTTAAAGTCCTTTTTGGGGAGCCCGGGGGGCTCAGTCAGTGGGGCATCTGACTTCGGCTCAGGTCATGATGTCTCGGTCTATGAGTTCAAGCCCTGCATCGGGCTCTCTGCTGACAGCCCGGAGCCTGGAGCTGCTTCAGATTCTGTGCTTTTCTCTCTCTCTCTCTCTCAAATAAACATGAAAAATATTAAAATCCAAATCCTCTTTTGCCAGCCCAACATTTGGGTCGTCTGTGGGTCTGTTTTTATTGACTGTTTCTTCTCTTGACCACGAGTCACATTTTCCTGTTTCTCATGCAACCGGGTGTTTGCGTTGCTGCCTGTAACAGGCCGTGGGGATGATGTGGACGAGCTGAGAAACTCTCTGATCGCCCCAGGAAGAGAGCTGAGTTTTGTCCCTGCGCCCGTTCAGTCTGTCCGTGGTCACTCTGACTTGGTGGAGGTGCAAATGGGCGTCACGTTTGGCTGGGGCAGGTCTGTTTCGGCCCCTTGTCTGCACCCTGACGCCCGAAGGTGGTTCTTTCTTCTAAGATGGGCCTTTCTGGGGGAGGCTTGCTGGCCCTGAACTGCACAGCGTCTCCCCTCTGCCCCGCGGCAGCCATGGGCTCTGTGCAGCTGCACTAGTAGCTCCTGTCCAGAACCTTCATTCCCTCGGCTGCTTCTGTGCGATTTGGGGGAGCTCGCCTGCAGGTCACGGGGCGCCTCCCTCTGTGCTCCCTTCCCTCTGGGACCGCCCCTCAGTTTCCAGGTGTTTTGGCCCCTCGAGTCCGTCCACGGGCTCCTTGGGTGCCGAGGACGCGTCTGTCCCCCTGACCTCTTCCCCGTGCACCGCGCGGCCCACATGGTGTCCTCAATGCGTCACGCCTGTGGGACCCATCCTGTTAGGGACAGACCTGCCAGGTCACCCCTGGTTCTGCTCCTCCGGTGTCTTTCGTATCCAGCCTCATAGTTGTCGTTAGCAGAAGAGTCTGCCCTGCACAGACTACCCCACGATCACGGTAATTCGGGGCCCTGCGCCGCGGGCTTTGGAGGAAGCAATTACACGTCTGACCTCCCACTGTGATGGCCGGCGTGCAGAGCGTGAGCCTGGGAGCCACTGATAACGTCCACGCTCCTTCCTCCGCCTGGCCTGCGGTGCGCCCTCCACCCCGGGCCAGCCCTCGAACTCAGCACCCCCTCGGGGAGGGGGGGTCCTGCCCTCCGGGACTCCAGCCTGGACAGCTCCTCACTCCCCCCTGAACTCTCTAGACCTGCGCAGCCCAGCGGGACTTCTGCAGCGATGGGGTTTGTCCCGGATCCTCGCTGTCCGGCGTGGTGGCCCTGGGCCACCCGCCATTTGAAATGTGGCCCTTGTGGCTGAGGAACTAAATTTCTAGCTTTATGCACTTGTAGTTCAAGTTTAAATAGCCACACGTGGCTAGTGGCTAAGACGTGGGGCAGGGAGCTCCAGACCGTTGCTGCTCTGAATGTGGTCTCACCCAGGATCGGCCCCGTGTGGGGATTTGTTGGCCGCGCGGCCCCTTTATGGCACTCAGGACTGTGGTAAAACTCAGCACCCGCAGTGTCTACACCACCCGCCCGCATTTTCTGCCCCAGGACTTTGCTTCGTAGCCAGTGCTTTAGGCTTTGGAAATCCTTCAGGCAGTCAGTAGGGCTTAATCTTCGGGTAGATTTCCTTTTGAGAGCCAATTTTTGTTGTTGTTCATCCTTTAAATGAAAATACAGATTTTTTGTTTAATAACAAGAGTAAAGAAACGCAGATGTCGCCCTGCGTGAGGAGGAAATACCTCGGGAGAACTTGTCGAATTCCTCCATGACAGCGGGGGTTCTGAGCCCAGCACGACCGAGGCCCCGTGGCTGTGTGTGCGGGCTGTGTGTGTGGGCGGGGACTTGAGGGGCCCCAGGGGTCACGCTCAGTCGTGCGTCCTCCTGCCTCCACATATGCCCACGCGCCCTTTCCCCTGTCCAGTGGGGTCCGCCCCCCAGGCCCTGCTCCGCCCTAGCCAGTGCCCGGCCCAGCCTTCCCCTGAGCTCTGTGCTGGAAGCTTGTGGCTGTGAAGTCTCCCCATTCTGTCCCTGTATGACGCCCAAGCCAGGTGACAGTCTGCTTCTCGTGGAGCATGTTGGGGGTCAGATCCTCAGGACGTGAGAAGCATGTAGCTTTTCACGGTTCCCGCTTTTGCAAGGGCTGCTAGAAAGCTCAGAAGAAAGTTGCATTCAGGTATCTGGGACACGGTGCTTTGAATTTCTGGTAACTTCTCTCTCCTTTCCACCTCTGGGGAGTGTCTGACGTGTCTCTGCCTTTGACATCCGTTCTTTCTCTTTACGTGTCCCACCGCCCTGATCCTCCGTGGAGGCATCCGTCGTGTAAAATACTAGCTGCAGCTCGCAGCTGCCCAGCTGTGTGGCCGCCTCTGCCCCACGTAGGAGACCTCAGGCTGCTCTTGGGTTCCTGTGCCTCAGCTGCACCGTCTGCAGAATGGGCCCAAGAGAAACAAGCTCGCAGAGCTGCTGGGGGATGGTAAATATTTCGGCAAAAACACCCTTCCATAGTTGGAAGGAAGGAAGGGAGACAGGAAGAGCCAGCGCTTTTCTACTTCGGTGCCACAGGCCTTCCTGGCTGATGACGTCAAGTCCTCCACGGTCCTCCGCCCCTGACCCTGGGCTGGTGGTGACTACTCACCCGTTGAGGGGTCTCAGACCTGGGTCTCCTGGGGGGTCTGTTCAGCCGCACCAAAAAAAGGGCAACAAAACACATCTGTTGTGTTGGAGAGTGGGACTGGGCAGCCGGCACCGGCCGCTCTGGGTCTGCCTAGCACCCCCCCCCCACATTTACGGGGCCCTCTCGGTGTGCTGAGGCCCCGCCCCTTTCTGAGCCCCTCCTCTCCGGGCCTCCCCTCTGGCTGTGGGCTGCAGAGAGCACCCAACACCCTTCCACCAGGGAGCGCGCTGGGGCTGCCAGCTCGCAGCAGCCCTGCGGGACCCTGAGGACTGGGGGGTGGCTGGGGCTGAGTGTTGGGGCCCGGTTGGGGGAGGAGGGGCTGTCCTAGGGGCCTCATGCAGGGGATGGGACAGTTCGTTCTGCGCCACCCCCGTAGTGAGACCGTGTGACGGGCAGGCGCAGATGGGGCGCAGCTTTCTGCTCAGTCCGTAAAAGAAACCACTTCTGGGGCCGCACAGCCGGAAAGAAGTAGAATGTGCTGCCTTTGGGTAGTGAGCACCCTGTCTGGAGGGGTATGTAAGTGGAAGCTGCCAGACTGCCCAGCAGGGATGCTGGGTGACGGCTTTCCCTGCACTTGAGGGGTGTGTGAACCCCGTCATTTTTGCTTGGCGTGGTCTGTGTCTGGGACTGGAAGTGTCCCGGGGAGGGTCAGGCGCTGTGGAGCCTGGCTCTGAGGATCCCGGATACCCCTGTGTGGTCTCAGGCAACCCCCTCACCTGCCTTGGGCTCCAGTCCCTCCCCCCGGGAAACCAGAAGGCTGCCCGGGCCTGGGCACCAGTGGGGCAGCACCACGCGGGACAGCAGGTTTCCCGCCTCTCGCAGGGTCCCCAGGAGGCAGCCCCCGCCCCAGAGACAGGCAGCACAAGGGCTACGGACAGCTTCTTCCCAGCTGTCGGTTTGTCCTCACGCGTCTGGACGCCGCGGTCCCCGAAATGGCTCTACCTGTAAGATGCGAAATCCCGCACACTGGCAACAAAGGCTGGGGCGTTTCTAGAACAGCCCCGCGTCCTGAGTGTATCTGACTTCTTCCTGCATGTTTCCCGCGGACGGGCTGTCAGCTGCGTGGTACCTGTCGTCTGCGGCTGTGTGACCGACAGGACGAACTGCAGTGAACGCAAAGGCCGCAGGGGCACCTGCACGTCCTCCCCCGGCAGCCCTGGGTCCGGAGTCTGAGCACAGCTTAGCCGGATCCTGGGCTCTGGGCCACACCACCCGCCGCGAGGGGCCGGCCGGGGCTGCGCTCTCCGCTCAGGCTCGACTGGGGAGGAAACTGCTTCTCCGAGCTCCCGGGCGTGGGCAGCATTCAGTGCCCTGCGGGGGGCTGGCCGGAGGCTGCCCCCGGCTGCTGCCCCGTGGCCCCTCCCAGAGAGAGGCCAGTTCAGAGGGGGCTGCTGGCTTCTTCGGAGCTGGGGAGGGGAGGGGAGGAGATGGCTCCAAGCTGGACCGCTTACCGCCCCCCACGCGGCATTCCCCTGGAAGTGGCGGCCCGTCCCCCGTCCCGCCTGCACCCCGGGGAGGCTGCTCAGAGCATCAACTCGGGACGTGGGCCTTGGGGCCACGAGCCTGTGCGCCCCCATCCTCGCCGACACGCACACGCAGGCACATGCAGGCCCAAGGGCCCCAGCCTGAAGATCAGGAGGAGGCGGAGCGAAGGGTGGGGTCAGGTGCACCCCTACGCCCCTCCCCTGCCCACAAGGGGTGGGAGCTCAGGCTTTGCTTTGCCAGCTGTGACCCTGGGTGGGCCGCCTCCTGCTGGGTCTCTGCTTCTCATCCAGGAGCGATGGGCAGCGGGACTCGGCACAGCTCCCAGATGCTGCAGATGTGTCCCCTACGTCCACCCACCATCCAGGGTGACCGCCAACAACCAAGCAAGTAACTCACTTCTCCAGGGACCCTGGCTCAGTGTCCCCCAGGTCTGACTCAGCCGCCTCTGGCTCCCTGGACATGGGTCAGACCCTGGGGGCGGGGCTCCACCCCACAGGGCTGCCCCTTCCCCTTCAGGGCGCAGGGCCTCACCTGGGCCGTGGCGTGCAGGGTCCCACAGCCCCTGCTGGGGCTGGATCACTTGGGGAGCAGCTCGCAGAACCCGGTGACTGTGTGGCACCCCGGCTCACTGGTGTGTGATGACAGGGTGTCACCGGAACAGCTGACAGGAGAGACGCAGGGAGCAGATCCTCGGAAGGCACAGAGCTCCCCATCCCCCCAGGCACTTGGCCTTTGAGTCTCCGAGGCCACCAACCCGGAAGCCCTCGCACACGTAGGGGGAGGGTCCTGGGGGGGGTCCTGGAGGCTTCCTTACTCTGGCACTTGCTGCCGCGTCTACATCTCCAGCCCCTGTTCCCTCCGGAGTTTGGGGGTGGGAGGGGGAGATTTT